CCGTATTTCGACGATGTATTCATCGCCACCCCTAACAGAGACATTCTAGAAAAACGACTCCGAATGGTCTTACAAAGGTTCCAAGACGCCGGCCTCAAGGTCAAAAGAAATAAATGCCACTTATGCACAGAAAGGGTAGAGTTTCTGGGATACCTCCTGGACAGCCAAGGGATCCATCCCACTGAGGACAAATTGAAGGCAATTAAGAGGGCCCCCACTCCCAGGAACAAGGCAGATCTTCAGGCGTTCCTTGGACTTATCAATTTCTATAACGTATTTCTACCAAATAAAGTAACGGTAGCTGAACCACTGCATAGACTTTTAGACAAAAAAGCAACGTGGGTTTGGGGGCAACGGGAACAAAACGCCTTCCAGCAAGTTAAAAAACTGCTAACTTCTGATTCTGTACTTATGCAGTACAACGAAACTCTGCCATTGACTATTACTTGCGACGCCTCGCCGTTTGGCGTTGGAGCAATCCTGGCCCACGTATTGCCAAACGGAGCAGAAGCTCCCGTCGCATTTTTCTCACGAACTCTAGCTAAAGCTGAAAGGAATTATAGTCAGCTGGATAAAGAAGCTTTAGCTATTGTGGCTGCAGTTAAAAGATTCCATGAATATGTGTATGGGCGTGCATTTACAATAATTACTGATCATAAACCACTATTGGGGATTATTGCGGGAAATAAACCAACCCCGTATATATTGTTCCCCAGAATGACTCGTTGGTCTGAATTCTTGGCGGCGTACAACTACACTTTGCAACACCGCCCAGGAAAAGCAATTCTCCACACTGATGCATTAAGCAGAGCACCACTCCCAGAATCGGTTGAAGATCCAGCACCGACCATTACAACGCTACAAATTGAGGCCCTGCACGCGCCATTGACTGCGAGGGACATTGCCCTCGAAACAAAACGAGATCCGGTTTTGCAACACATCCTACGCTAGGTTGAGCGTGGGTGGCCAACAGAACAACTATCACCAGAATGGGCGCCCTTTAAAGCCCGCCAAACTGAACTATTTTCCCAAAAGGGCTGCATCTTGTGGGGAGATAGAGTTATAATTCCAAACAAACTGCAATGAACTGTGTTAGCGGTATTACACGACGGACATCCGGGCATAGTGCGGATGAAAGCACTCGCACGAAGCTATGCCTGGTGGCCGGGAATCGACAAGAAAATCGAGGCCTGGGTCGCTACTTGTCAACGTTGCCAAGACGTCAGTAATGCCCCACCTAAAGCAAGCCCAACCGAATGGGAAACCCCAAGGGGACCGTGGTCCCATATTCACATTGACTTTGCGGGGCCTACAAGGGGACACACCTTCCTTATTACAGTCGACGCCTACTCGAATTGGCTCGAGATCCATCGGATGAATACAACTACAACGGACTCAGTTATCAGCAGATTAAATAGACTATTTGCCACACATGGGTTCCCGGACGTTTTGGTCTCGGACAACGGCCCACAGTTCACTGCATTACACTTTGAACAGTATCTTGCTGATCGGGGCATCCGCCATGCGCTGACCTCGCCTGCGCACCCTGCGGCAAACGGACGTGCAGAACGCATGGTACAGTTTGTAAAAAAGACCTTCCACAAAATGGAATTCGGTGACATCGATGAAAAAATCAATCGAATTTTATTGTTGCAGCATATTACGCCCCACAGCGTCACCAACAAAATGCCCGCCGAACTTCTCATGGGGCGGAAACTATGATCGCACCTTGACCGGCTCCACCCCGCATACGCACCCGAAAAGCCTTTCGGCTCCAGCAGCAAATGCCGGGAATTTAAGGTAGGCAATTTAACCTTTGCAAAAAACTTTTCCGGCGACTCTTTGTGGATACCCGCAACCGTCACCCACCTCACAGGGCCCAGATCTTACCGCCTACTAACAGAAGATGGGAGGGTGTGGAAACGCCACATAGACCAGCTTCGTTCGAGATTGCCACCCAGCGGCCATGGATCCCCGGGTTCCCAAACTGAGGGGGGAGGAAATATCGAGGAAATTGACTTCGATATGACGGATTGCAGACCAACGGATACCTTTCGGCCCAGGGAAGGACCGGCAAATGAAATGGGGAGGGAGTTGATTTCTCCAGAGGACTTGAACTTGGGGGAATCCGAACTGCAAAACCCCGAAGAACCATTAGTTAGTAGAAACAACCTCAACGAAAGCAGCACGGAAGCACCGTGCAGCGAAACGGAACAAAATAGAGACTATCCAAACGCTCCACCGGAACCAGACTTTGGGCAAAACCCGGTGGAGCCACGGAAATCATCTAGACAGACCAAACGGCCTGTCTACCTTGAGGATTTTGTTACAGCTCCCCTCAAACGGAGCCCAAGGGGGAGGGGTGTTATGAATCAATAAAAGTAACTAGCATAAAATGCAAAGTAGGGTTTGAAGGCCTACACACCTGATTGGTCCTCAAACAACGAACAGGGATTGGTCAGGATGAGGCCACTCCTTATTGGTTATTATTTGAACTTATCACAAAGGTTATTGGTTAATAGGGTAGCAGACAACCCTATAAAAGGGTTACTGCTGCCCATAGAGTTGCTCTGTTCTATTCCTATTCCTGTTATTATTAAAGAGTTGAAGTCACTGGTCAGATATCTGGTCTCCTTATTCTTCGAACTTAACACTAGTAGTTAGAAAGCATGTAAAAATGAAAGTAGAAAAATAGGGACCACTTTAGTGGGAAAGTAACAGCATTCTGTGTACCTTCGGCATTTAGTCATGCCAGCCACATGACCACAGAGATGTCTTTGGACAGTGCTGGCTCTTCAACTTTGTAACAGAGATGAGCACTGCCCCCTAGAGCCAGAAATGATTAGCAGGTATGTGCGAGGGGAACCTTTATCTTTACCTTAAGTATAGTTTAATTATTACAGACAGAACTAGTTTAAGAGTCATCTTAAACTCAAAGCTATTGCTCAGTGAATAAGCAGTTGTGATTAGAAGTTCTTTGCACAGTTCCATCTTGTGCACTAGTTACAATCTCTTCTGGAATAGTTCTCATTAGTCATACTCGCCTTAGTAAACTAAGTGCAAACCATTCTACATGAGATTGCCAGTGAAGAACATGTGAAAGTTACAGATAACCTAGAATGTAGCAGCTCTGGTAGAAGCAGGCAGTGTTTCACAGTAGATCAACTAACTGTTGATCTAGTTAGAACTGGTAATGTGGTCTTCCTCTATGTCCCTTCAGTGAGGGAATGTAAGTGTTTTCCATTGCTATTCTCCTTCTGTAGAAATGCATTCCTTCAAAAATTTAAGTGACTTCGACCTTATTGGTTTTCAGAAAACTTAAATACGGCAATTGCAATAAGCCTTGAGGGTTGTATTGCTCCCTATGGGTGAGTTTGAGTTTTGGTAAATTAATTGATAATCCTGATTCAGAGATATTTTGATCTTTTAGACATTCTGTTTTTAACCTGATTTGCAAATGTAGGTTGCTCAGAGTCATTAGAAACTGGAATACTGAGTAAATTCAGTAAGTTCAGTTCAAGGGACATGAAATATGAGTGTTGTTGCAGAGCACATGCTCCTCAGAGGAGTAGTGGCATTACTCCAAAACCTAATTTTGACTGGATTTTATTTGTATTATATCTTAATATATAGTTTAATTTTAATTCAATGTAATAATTATAATAACTCAATATTATTACAAATATATAAGTTTATAATGATATCGTTAGTGCAATATCTTGCACAAGAAAAAAAATCACAATTTGGTAACCATTTTTTGGTAGCACTAATCTAGAAAATGAAACAGACTTAGGAAACATTGGATAATAAACAATTTATAACAACCTTGCTATATTTAATAGTAAAAAAGAGAAAGTGAAGTTTTGTTTGGTTAGCACCACTGCGTAAACAAAATTCTTTGGTAAAACACTTGTTTTCTTTTCTTTTTTGAGGAGAAAAAAAGGCCTTTACATTGTATAGAGAACACATACAAGTAAACTTATATACACATATACTTTCATAAAAATAGAATACATCTTTGCAAAAATCACTTCCAGAGTTTATTACCACCTTATACAGTGTTTTGACATCTAAACACTTTTAAACCAAACTTGATATTTGGGGTAAGCAAGTTTTAATATAATTTTAAATTCTTTAATCAACACTTGAAGAAGAAAGTTGAATTCCCTTCTTTGCACACTTCACCAGATTTCCCATTCTAAATAACCACTGCAAAAGCTAGCTGTTGTTCCTAGCTTGTACACCATATAAAGTACCAATAAACTGCAAGGGCAAATATGTTTCCTGCATTAGGGATTTATTGCAACTTTATTTTTTAATCATGTGATAGATGTATCACCTCTGGAGGACAAATTGGCTACTATTTGTTTGCACTAAGGAGACTTGCCAGCTTGGGCAATCAACCAGTGGAACGACTTGCCTTCAGAAGTTGTAGGTGCCCCATCACTGGATGGAGGTGTTTAAGAAGAGACTGGATGGCCAATTGTATAGAAATGGTATAGCATGAGCAGGAACTAGAAGACCTTTACGGTCCTTTCCAATTCTGTTATTCTGTTATTGCTGCTGTGTATTATGTCCAGCCAACTGTCTGGGTTTCTCACAACCTGTCTTGCCTTTCTTAAAATTATATTTCAATTATTACCAATTACTATCTTGTCATTGTGTCATGTTCAGGAAAGTTACTCTTTCCACCAAGTGTTAAATAAAAACTATTGTGATTATGCAAACATTTGTAATTTTGTAAAAACAACAACAACTACACCATATTTATTTTCATACTGTATCATGGACATTATTTTGTTTTCATGTTTGGGGAAGAAATAAAAACATCCTTACATGTCATTCTTTTAGCACTAAATTATTGCCTAATTACTATCGCTAACTAGTTCCAAAGAGTCAGCAGAACAATCTTTGGGAGGTGATTGCTCCAGTGTAATAAATAAAGCATGTGTAAAGATTCCAATGATAATCATAGACTACAGGTATTTTTGTCAAGATGGCATTATTGCAACAAGATTGGCAGTCAGAATTAAGAAACCTAGCACCATTTTCTCCTAAGTTGCACAGTCTACAATTTTTTATTCATGAGGCAGTCATTCTGGACACCCAGTGGGATGTATGTAAGTGGTTAACATACTTTGATTATTTTGGGCAATGCTTCTCCTAGTAAGGATAAGCAGACACAGCTATATAGACTATAAAAGTGGTCTGATATTCAATGGCTCCATCACTTCTGTAAGAAAGAGCTCTGACTCTCATCCGATATGTCTCTGGCTCTCGCAGAGGCCTCGTGGTATACACCACCCCTTTCAAGTTCTCATCTCTGAGTGAAAAGGGGATGCTCGTGTCCTCATTCACCATAAGGAAACTGGTCCTTGGGTGCATGACTCCATCTTCAGTGTAGGCAACTAATCGGATTAGATCCTGATTGGCAGCAATCCCAAATGGGAGAGAGACAAGTTTGTATTCCAAGGCATAAGGGCTCAAAGCACATTCCAAGTCATTGGCTGGACAGTTCTTGAGGCACGATCTGAAAAGAAATAGTTGTGTGTATTAGTGTAGAAGTAATCTAATCAATTTCTACTATTCTTTACCTTACTTCATCAAATCTTATCCACAGTTGTAAAATTCAGATCATCCCTGGATTGATTGGACCCATAATATAGTTAGGTGATTCTGTTGATTATTTATATAGAAATAAATGAACAAGAATGTTGGCAAGTAAGTATCAGCTTTAAACAGTTTTGCCTGTTTCAAAACATGGCTTAAATAAAAATGTATGCAAATATACATGTGGAAAAGCAATGGAGATACATTGCCTCTAGTAAGTCTGATTTGTGATGAAATTGAAGTGAGAACATTTTGGAAGAAGCATTCTTATGTTGTACTCAGTTTACTCTTTCTTATTCCATTTTGCACTACATGTTTATCTGGAAATGGAACAATGTGATAGGAATGTATATATGTAAATTAAAATAAATGTATATTTTAAGTCATCACATTCAGCTTACCCAAACTGAGAGACTTTTTAAGTAGATTGTTAAATTAACATTAAACAGTACTTAATACAGTTGGCATTTCAAGGTTACCAGTATCCCTTGCTTAGTTGTTACTTCTTTAACCAACCCTTCACAGTAACAACAGTGATTTTTTAAAAAAGTAACTTGTAAATCCTTGCATTTGTGATCTTTTCAGGTCTGTAAAGCAATGGCAAGCTGAACATAAGCACTGTTGCAGTATCCCTTATTGACCACTTTGCTTAAAGATCGAGTTGTTGGTTCCAATTGTGCATGATAGATGAGGACAGTATGTAACTCTGTGTGTGTGTTTGTGTGTGTGTGTGTGTGATGCTCTACTGAATTACCAAATGCAAAGAACACCTGGGAAAAACAGAGAGATGAAGATAAAGCATACCCAGAAAGACGATCTCGTTGGTAGTTTGGAGGGCAAGGAGTTTCTATACACTGATAGCTTCCTTTCATGTTAAAACACATGCGGTTTGGTCCACAGTAGATGTTCTGTTCAAGGCATTCATCTACATCTGATATGATTCAAAAGGGATAGCAATTTCAGATAGACCATTCATTGATTTCAATTTTTTTTTACTTTGCATCCCAGATAAATAGCACCAATAGGGAATAACACAGAACCATCATTGTCATGCATGCTAAGGAATATTTTATAAAATATGCATATGAATAAATAAAATAAAATAAATATCTTCTTTCCATTGGAGCGATTTGCTTTCCACCAAATATATTAAAACATAAGATTAAAAAAAAAGAGAGAGAGAGAAAGCTAACTGTTACAAATTTTAATTCCAAGTGGACACTCATTTCCTTTTCCCCATGTCTTGCTATGATTTTGTAACAGACTCTACTGGAGATCCCAAAGTTTTAAATTTTTAAAAAAATGAAAATACCTTGTCCCAAATTGCGATTCATTGCAGTCATCTTATTCATGCTCCTATAAGGAGTTGTTCCCTTTCCTTATTAACTATATTCTTAAAGATAAAGATAAAGCTTTCCCTTGCCCAGTTGTGCCCGACACTAGGGAGCAGTGCTCATTTCTGTCTCTTAGCCAGCATTGTCTGAAAACATTTCTATGATCATGTGGCTAGCATGATATACCGATGTACACAGAATGTTGTGACCTTCTCACCAAAGTGGTACCTATTTATCTACTAGCATTTGCCTGCTTTCGAATGCTAGGTGGGCAGGAGCTGAGGCAAGTAACAGGAGCTCACTCTGTCAGGCAGGGCTCGGGTCTCAGAATCCAGGCTGCCAACTTTCGAGTTGATAAGCTCAGCATCTTTAACTACTGACCCATCGTGCCCCCTACATCTATATTCTTAGTGACTAATTAGCTTAGTACTCTTCAGTATGAGCAGATAAGAGCCCTGCCCTACATTAAAGACAACTCTTGGTAAACTCTCACATGAATGAAGGCCATTACTGAAACAATTAATGCATTAAGATATTTGCTATCTATCATAATATCAAGTGAAACATATTTCTAAGGCACTGATGAACTATATTGATGAATTTTAATTCTTATGCTTTAATTCTTCCCCTCTGTCAAAACATTTTCTTACCTTGACATGTTTTTCCATTGGGCATGATTCGGTAACCCGATGGGCAAAAACACTGGTAACTCCCTAAGGTATTCCTGCATTCATGCTGACATACACCTCTGTTCTCACATTCATCAATGTCTGCAAAAATGTTAAAGAAAAAAGCCCAAACATGAAGATTTTATGTAAAGTGACAGGCTAAGAGAGGAAAGCTCACTTAAGGCAGGATTCCAAATGTTAAATTCCAACACACAGACACAGACATATACAACTAGATTATTGCTGTATTTAGACTATTTTTTTCTTAGAAAATGCAGTTTAGCAAGTCTGAAGAATCCTGCCACAATTAAAGTTTTTGAGGTTGACATATAAAGCTATTTTCAAAGTCCTTTCAACTATTAGACAAGGAGCCTCTTGTCCAGTCCTTCAAAACAGAAAGTAAAGAGAATGTAAAGTTGATAACTGCTAGTTGTAAAAATGTCTGTCAGCACCATAGTATGTCTGAAGAAGTGAGAAGACTCAAAGCCTGAGATTCAGTCAACACCAATCTGAAGGCTGGCACAGGAGGACAGAATCATTACCACCCAACTTACTTCTGTCTTTTAGGAGCCAGGAGTGTAAAATATAACTCCCTAGGGGAAATCCCTCACTGAGTAAAAAGGCCTCCTTCACAGTCTCAATAAGCTTAGCATCTTTCACTCAGAAAATCAGACAACACTATTCATCATAGATTTGGGAACTTTGGGGAAGAAACAAAACTGCTATAAAACAGAAGAATATGACCTGAAGCATCAGGGTAATCCAGCTTGCTTTTATTTAGTCTTTCATGAAGGACAGTGGTTCACAACCATTTCTTCAGCAAGGACCTCCTTTAAGAGCCTTTTGTGGCCAAATGGACCATAACCATAACCAAGACTTAACTCAAAATTTAAATCATAACATTTCTTCAAGATTGTGACAACATTGCGCCTTCTCCCAGGGATCTGTGGATCACAGGTTAAGATCCAATAGTCTAGGATATGGGTGCTCTGGCACCTACACATTTTAAATATTGGGCAAATGTGCTTTTACTCACATGAAAAAGTACCAATCAGCTCATGCCCTTAGTGTTTTTTAAACTTCTTTTAAGCACTGCATGGGTTCCAATCCAGTGAACCAAAAAAAATATATCCTGTCATGTTGAGCGGAAATGGATCCCTTCATCTTCCTTTGAATAAGGGGGAAAAGATGCAACTGCTAGGAATATCTTAAAATATCCTTTAATTTGATCATAAAATGTTAATTTGACATGTTTTAAAAACTCTTAATGAGATGGAAGAAAGAGTTATCAGCCTAATTTTTACATTTGTTTGTGGCAATTGTACCACATGTTAAAATTATTGTTCTTAATGGCTGTATTGAAAATGAACAAATCCCATGTTTGAACCTTTTGGTGCATTTGCTTTTTTTAAGCAACTCCTCCTTCCATTTCCTCCTTCTTTTTTTATTCTCACTATAGTAAAGAGTCTTCAGAATCAGTTATAGATATAAAACTAACAGAGCAAAACCATGCAGATTTCACCTAACAATTGTACTGTTTAGCAGCTGTTCAAAGTTACAACACACTAGAAAAGTAACTTTGTGAGCAGTCCTCACACTTAACATGGCAACCCTGTGGTCACATGACTGAGATTCAAGTGCTTCACAACTGGCAAGTGTTTACAACCATCTCAATGCCCTGTGGTCATGTGATCATTATTCTCACACACTTCATAGCTGGATTCTAATTAGTAGAATCAAGGGAGAAGCCAAGAATGAAATTGCAAGTCATGGTCATGTGACATTTCACTTAATGACCATGTTTGACTTCTTTAATGACCACAGCAGAAGAAGTGACGTCCTAAGTCATTGTGGTGATATGATGTTTCACCTAGCAACCATGTTGCTTACCTTAAGAGTTTCCAGAACCCAGCTGTAGTTAAGAGATTACTTGTACTTTCTTAAGCTAACATATACATTTTAAAATTCTCCAATAATAGTATTTTGAAAGAAGAAGCTCTTAGTTTTGGGTATAATTTTAAGCAATGAAGATCCTGGATGTATCTTGCTATCAACAGCATTGCACAGTTTGGAGAAAATAATCAGCTTCTTATTGTATTCATTTTTGGCCACTGCATCCAATGAAGAACCTTTGAAAGTATCTTTCTAATTGGGCAGGAATAAATGAAGAAATACATTCATTCATCTAGACAGGCCTTTAAGGCTTTAAAGATGAACTCTAACAATGACAAACAACCTGCCTTTGTTGGTGGAATGAGCAGCAAAAAAGAAAGAATATGCATCATATGTACAGACATATACAGTACATACATATACACACATATACAGGTGTGACATTTACCTATACATTTGTTATTTCTTGCCTCATAGCCTTCAGGGCAAGGCACTCTAACATTTCTTCTACTCCTGGCGATGGGAATTCTGCTGTTCCTATACTCTGAGTAGGAGCTGTAGAGATTGGAGGAGTGCCTGATATATTGTTGAGGTCGATAGTTGTCTCTCATGGGGGAGAACTGAACATAATTATAGCTATTGTAATAGGTGCCATAATTTGGGAACCTCTCCAATCCAGCGCAAGATTTGCCATCGCCTAATAAATGTTGTCCAGGAGGACAGATACACTTGAAGCTGCCGGGGATGTTGGCACACTGATACGCACAAGGTTTAGGCACTTGTTCACATTCATTAATGTCTGCTCATGGGACATGATTCCAAAGCAACACACCATGTGACAAGGGGAAGGAGAAAAACACACATAAACAAAAACAAAACATAAAAACTCATCAGTCTGAGGAAAATGCTGAAATTACAAATGTGATTCTAAAACCACTAAACATAGACAGTACATGCATTAATCTTCTTGTGCAACGTTTGATGAAAGCCATGTGATCACCCTAGCTAAACATGCACACTTTTATGGCAAATTAAGTGATCTCTGCATACAATGAACAAAATAGAGGCCTTGCTTTTTCTTGAACTTGAATTTTTCAGTATTATCTTAATCTTTAAATAGTTGCAAGGCTCCTGCAATGATATTCAAGTGTTCTCTCATGCAAGACAAGGATTATGATCCTGTCTAAATTTACCTGGGCACAACATTGAAGGAAATTTGGACCAATTTACATTCTAAAATATAGAATCTTTTGAATGACAATGAATTGAAATATATAAGTGTACTACACTTGAATCTGTAGAGAACTTTAAAGAAAGCATTTCACTTTTCTGTTAAAGATGTCTCATGCTTAAATTATTTTTTGTTTATTTTCTTACTAAGATTGCAATATAGGTCACTGACAATGTTTAAAGCACATGAACTTTAAAGGGAGTATTAAAGTCAGCTTTTTCCTATACAGACAGGAAATATGAATGCCTGTTAGAAGTAGGGACCATTTATGGGACAGAGAGTCCCATTTTCGCTCCATTATGCCCATTTGTGGGGTGGAATATGACCCAGGTAAATGTGAATAGTTACATTTCCTTGGATTTTTCTGCAACCATGCATGAAATTAGACGTTGATGGGTTTTTTTCCCACAGTAAACGTCTTAAAAACCCAATCCTCTGGAAACTATGGTATTAATTTCAAGAAGAATAGCACCTTGAGCTTCATAGGCAGCTACCAATAGCAGATGATATGCAAAAGAATATTATTCATATTTATTAGGGCTCTGAAAATAATCCAAATTCAAATAGCATAATTTGAATAGGTTATCTGAAGGACCATCTCTTGCCGGTCACATCTACCCGACCCTCAGAGTGGGGCAGCAGAGAATGTTGCAGGTCCCATCCCCGAGGGAGATACACCTGGTGGGACCCAGAAGAAGGGCCTTCTCCGTGGAGCAGGATGGAGCCCATTAAATGGCTCATGTGATCTCCTGTCACTGGGGCAGGGGGTGGGAGGTGGGGGCTGATTTTGTTATACTGTACTATATTAATTTATTTGATTCTTTTGTTAGTTTTTATTGTTTTAAATGTGGTTTTATAGTCTGCAAGGCACCTTGAGTCGCCATGTGTAAATAGGCGGCAATATAAATTCAATCAATCAATCAATCAATAAATAAATAATGTAATCTGGAGCACAAGAGGACAACACACATCATATGAACTTATTAAAGGCTTTCCCAGGTTCACATGCTCCAAATCATGATTTGCCATTCAAATTCTTATCTATAGATAGCCTTAAAGTTTATACAATTCCAGATTCTGACTTACCCACACAGGGTCTTCCAACTCCCTGGTATCGGTAGCCTCTTGGGCACACACACCGATAACTTCCTTTTGAGTTTTCACATATCTGGTTGTATCGGCATTGGTGAGTACCATCTCTGCATTCATCAACATCTGATGAGGAAGACAACATCTTGCATTAGGAAAAAGAAAACGTGTCCTTTTCTTGATAAGAATAAATACCTATAGGGTTGTAAACCTTCCTTGACTGCTTTTTTCATCATACTTCAGTTTTGAAATATTTACGTGTTAGTTAAAAATATTTATGTATTAATCACATTTATATGGCTCCCCATTTCATGGAAAGGGACTTTATATGTTAGTCAAATTAGTACCAGATGCCTTCTAAGGAAAGTGTGAATTATCTTGAATCTGCTCGTTTTCACTGCCTATATTCTTAAAAAGTAATGTCAGAATATTTTTCACCAGCAGGAAATGAGGAATAACATGGAAGAGAGCCTATGACAGCTAAAAGTCAGAAAACTGATTTTTTTTCCTGTTAACACATTTTATTTAAAGGTTTTGATTTTTGTGAGCTGCAGATCACTTCATCAGATATATATAGAGTGGCTATAGTGATATGATGAAGTAAGCTGCAACTCATGAAGGCTAAGGTCTTTCAATTAAATGTGTTAGTTGAAAAAGGTATTAGAGAATCTAGATTTTTTTGTGACCATTACAGGTTCATGTAATATTCATGATTATATTTGGTAATATCAATGATCCATGACTATCATTCACAAATTTGAGAGAAAGAGGGAGAGATAACCGAAATAGCTTGTTCTCTGTTATACTCTAAAAATAATATGATAAATAAATGTACAAACCTATACATGTTCCATTTTCTGTTTTGGTCATTCCACTTGGACACAAATCAATGCATTTATAGCCACCTCGTGTATTCTTGCATAATTGGTCAGGTCTGCATACATTTTGTCTGCATTCATTCACATCTTTTTAAAACAAAAACAGAAAAGCAAGATGAAATTAAATAATTAAATTTAACTGTTGCCTCATTTGTTCAAAGGACAATCTTTCCATCTCCTCCAAAACAGGAGAGAGAGATAGCATCTAATTTGCAAGCAGTGGACAATGCTATTGGAACGAGCCACATTAGGAGAATAGAGATTTTTCCCCCTATTGGGGAAAAGGGAATGCAGAATCACATCAGCTGACATTCTCAATATCTGAATGGAGCAGAATAACTGGAAAGTTCAAGGCTGCTAGTAGGACATCTCTCAGGGCTTCTATGTCTAAAATGACCCATTCATCACTGAATCACATCTACTGTTTTATAGGTAAACTGATCTTGAAGAGAAAAGGAAATAGGTATATGTACGTCATGAATTTTCCAAAATGCTTGTTTTATTTAAGACATGCAGAGTGCAAGCTCAGGAATAATGACTACATCAACACACTGAAAAACTACACTTCAAAAAGCATGGAAATAAATTGCTCAGAATCCACTGTATACAAGTATGTTTGGTTATGTTGGGTAAAGTATTCACGCACAAGTGAAAAGCCATTCCAGTCCCACTTTGGATTATGTAAAATTTGTACCCATGCATTTTCTGCCTTTCAGCTGATAGCCTGGATCACATCCACAGTGGAAGCTTCCAATGGTGTTGAAGCAATGCTGATGACAACGGTGAGACTCTTGGCATTCATTTACATCTGTTGAATAATAATAAAAACATTTTGACCTGTTTCTTTGCATCAAACTTTATAATGCTAGAAAACTACTTGGCACTTTTGCTGCCAAGCAAAAGTAAAACCCAGAAGGAAGGAAAGATTACTTCTACTCTGCCTCTAGGTTTATTACATCATAAAAAGTATATATCTTTGTAGTTCTTTGTGGTTGCACAGGTTTGCCATTTTTTTTACTCCTCTATGTATATTGCAGGAAAACTCCTTATCCAAGGAGTCAATGACCCCGTGTCTCTGGACACACAAAAGCAACCGAGCATCTGCTTCTCCAGTGCCTGTATTACAGACAGATATGTATAATCCCCAGCTTATCATTATTGCACAAATATCCAGGTTTCCAAATTCTACGCCTCCCTCCTACTTTCAGATTCCAAACCCCTCTAGAACATGTCATATTGCCAGGCTCTGTGAAGCAGCTCTTAAAACCCATCAGAAAATGGCCCGGGCCGTAAACAAGAAGTTCATCACACTACAACAGGAGTGTCAAACTGGATTTCTTCAGGGGTTGGATCAGAATTGTAGTTCTCCTCCACGAAGACAGAATGGATATCTCCTACAGCACCCTTCTGGCTAAAACAAGGTATGGGAGAGGACGTGTGCCCCCCTCACCCTATTTTTGGTCTAAGCAGACTCCTGCAACACTTTGCTGGCTTTGTTTTGGCTGGCAAAAAGCTGCAGGAGGCCCTCAAGGCCAAAAACCGGCCATGTGGGGGACACATACCACCCCTATTGGCTGTGAGAGGCACTGTGGGCCAGTTCTTTGCTATTTCCCAGCTGGCCCCATGGGCCAGATTTAAGCACCCACAGTCCACAACCAGCCCACAGGCCTTGAGTTTGACACCACTGCACTAGAGTGTTCTGTAATTTGATAGATATAATCTGTCACATACAACTTTATACTCTTCTACATCTCTTTAATGCTCCTACTCCTCCTATTAGATTTTTTAGACTTTTGTTATATATCCTTTGTATTTTATTTTTTAGCTTTCTAAAAATTATCATTGTTTTAGATTTTGATATACCTTTTATCTTTTAATTGACTATATCCTACCTTTCTTATAATGGTCTTATAATGGTCAAGCATGGATAAGTTAAAATGTTATTAGTAAAAATGAATATAAAGAATAAGAAAATTATTAAAGTCAACTTTGAATAATGAAAATACCATCAAAGTCATCAATGCTTGGCCCATACCTGTTATATAATACATTATATATTAGAAGAAGGGGAGGGGACTGATATATGATCTTTGGTAACCAAAGCAAACCAATTTGAAGGTGGCAAAACTTTCTTCTCAGGTTAATTGTCAGGTAAGAAGAATCAGGACTATATGCTAAGTTGCAGTTAATAAGATTTATTCCTTAAAGTTATAGACAAGATCTAGTCAACTGATGATCTGCATTAAATGGGTGCTAGATTATAATCAATAAAATTCAAGGGGGAGACTGGACTGGGATCACTTGTGGAAACATAATGACTTCAGTCTGATTCCTCTCTTGACTCCAACCCCAGGCTCTGCTTCTTCTCCTAATTAATAGGATTAGCGCACTCATGCATTAAATCTGGGGATGGAAGTAGTAATCCACTTCAAACAGTGCTAGTTAGGCCATAGAAGACATTAGATGTCTAGTCTGTCCTCTGGCCCAGGCCAAAATCCATCTCTGAATGGAGGGTAGAGGGCAGACTCACAACAGTCTAAAGCAGTGGTGGGATTCAATTTCTTTTTACTACCGGTTCTGTGGGTGTGACTTGGTGGGTGTGGCAGGGGAAGGATACTGTAAAATCTCCAGTCAGAGGTGGCATTTGCCGGTTTTCTAAACTACTCAAAATTTCCGCTACCAGTTCTCCAGACCTGCTGAATACCACCTCTCGTCTAAAGTGGCCAACAGAAGCTGGGCAGATCCTGTTCCCTGGCCTCATCAGCAACCACATTATTGTTGGAATATGCTAGATGATGTCCATAGCCAAACTTTTAGTGGAAAAAGAGAAAAAGTACTATTTTTCTAAAAACAACCTTAAACCCCCTCAGCTGTGAGTTGGAAATGAGACAATGCTATGAATAGTATAAAATTCAATTACTGAATCATGCTTGTGCCTCAGGGACATAATCATTAGCCTAAAACTTTTCCTAAGTAGTAGCTTATTCATAGATGGCAGCCCCAACAGCAAATGCTTTGAAATTGAAGGCCAGAAATGTCCCATGGGAATGATGCTATGTAATGTAATGATTGCTGAAAGATCAGTTCAATGCAGTTAATAAGGCCCAAGTTGAAGACGCGTGATTGAAATTTACTAGCATATATTATCCCTAGCTCATCTGAATGGAAGACTATTAATAATATTGGTTACTTGGAAATTATAAAAAAATACCTTACTATTCTAGGGAACAATTTATCCCCATGAAAGTATTATTTAATGAAGCATTACACTTTAATGAAGCATTACACTTTAATGAAAGTGCTTGGTGTATATAGTCATTTCCATACCTTGGCAACTCAATCCATCTGGTGTTCTTCTAAAACCAATCCCACATTGAACCACACAGTGATATGAGCCAATAATGTTCTCACAATCTTGGCCAGCCAAGCATGAATGCCTCCCTAAGGTACACTCATCAATATCTGCATTAAATAGCAATACAAAAGTATAATATAGTTCAAATGGCAATACAGGCTCGGTTGAAGCATAGACATATTTCAATATATCATCATGGAAGAAGCAGCATTCATTTTCTCAGGAAAAGATAGTATACAGAAGAAGCCTAAAAGGGCATAATCCAAAAAATATATTGCAGCTTATATTGCTACCCTCTAGTCTTAGAGATAAGCCATTTTATTCTTTTTCAATCTGTGGCTCCTTTAATCTTCATTGTTGTTTCTGAGTCCCCAATTCCCTAATTAAGAACAACCGCCAGCCACAAATAATTGCTCATGAGGTAGAACTGGACTAGTGAAGTTATGGTCTCACCCTCCTTGGTCTCTCCTAGGGAGAGATTTCAGGGACACTGATTGCCCTCCAAGAGATTTTCAGAAAACGATGCTTACCTTGACATGCTCTTCCATCTGCTGATATAGTAAGACCCTTGGGACAGGAGCAGTAATAGGTTCCTACAACATTGTGACATATATGGGAACATGGTTTCTGAGTTGTACACTCATCTTCATCTAATAGGGAAAAACAGAATAATTAACAGATAGCTAAGTACTTAAGAGTACAATCTGTAGCCCAACAGCTGCATGGAGTCTGCTAAAGGCTTTATCTTTCACATCCCCAGATTCTATTCCCCACAAGAAGAAATCCCCACAATGCTAGCACCCTTACAATAATAGTAAGGAAAAGAAACCAGGAACCATTATATGCTGTTTGAATTCACTCATTATCAAGCAGAAAAGACAAAAACCTTAAATTCAGTTTTATTTAAAAGAACATGTTATTCTAAAGCACATTGTAAAAGCTAGTTTCAGAATTTCAGGTATACCTGCCAGTTTATTTCCTCAGGCAATTTTGGATTTTTCCACCTCTGAAAATAACCCTTAAAAAAAAAGTAAATAAACACCTGGAAGGACATTTATACCAAACAGTACTTTACTATCTTTTTGTTTTGATAACCAAAAGGGGGGAAAACAGTCCATGAAAGAGGAAGGAGAATATATGGTGTACTGCAATTTTGGCAATGGTCAGATTCGTGGGTTCTCTCACCTGAACAGTAGGGACCAGAAGAATCCAAACTAAACCCATTAGGGCACTGGTTGCTGTGATCTCCTGTGGAAGAAGGGAATGGCTAATCAGATTGATATAAGTTATTACTCTTATCTTTCAGAAGACAGCCACTTCAAAGATGGAAAGCACTTTTTTTATTACTCCTGGGGTTAGAAATAGAACTGAATGGATGAAATGGCTTGGAAACAGATTTTAACTACTGTAATCATAATGACAAAACAGTTCTTGACAATGACAGGTTCTTCTTTACTAGAGGTATTTCATTAGAGGCTAAACTGCTGACTATCAAGGTTACCAAATTCATGTTGTAAATTCTCTGTTGAGAAGTCAGTTGGGCTAGTGGAATTTCATATTTTTTTTTTCTATTATGGCAGCCCTTAATAGACTTGCTGTGCATCTTAGTTCAAAAAGTTTCTATTCAGAACTAAAATATTTACCCAAAAAGTACATGATGTATCTCTATGAATCACACTTTAAAAAATAAGTCCAAAATAACATTTGTATTCAAGGTGACTATAAGAAAAGAACATCACCCCATCACATCATGTTGGTACTCAATTGCTCAGATGTAACCAAAATTGCCAGGATGGATTAGGTCATAACTTCTCAAAGGATGGTTCTATCTTGAAAAAAAATTATTTACAAAATAAGCAAAAGGTAAGATAATAAAACTTTTATGAGTGCATGATTACTGACAAACATTTCTAAGTCTGTGTGCAACCATTACAAAGGTTTTTTTATTTGACTTGGTCCTTATTTAGATAAATATAATTATATTAAACTTTAGCATATAGATGCCCTCATTTTACTGACAGTTTTTCACGTGTGATCTGACCTAAATTATAAAGAAGGAAAAGGACAAAACATATTTTTTAAAAATAAATATAAAGTATGTAACTACCTTCCTCAAAATTCATACCTTTTATAATGGAGGCAGCTATTTTAAAAGTCAGAGCTTCTTCATGTGTGTTGTATTCTGTTTTAATAGAAGAGGCTTGAAGTGTTTCAACCAGGAAAGGCATTTTCCCAAGATTTTGATCGTAAGTAATAGTATGGTTCCAAGTGTATGGTAAACTGACGCCATCTATGCTAAAGAGCCGAGTGGAGTAAGCATACAGCTGACCAGGGCCTGTTTGAATGTAATCTTCTATATAATCCTGGAATGAACATCACAGCTTTAAACTGAAGAAACTGCAAACAGAATTCTCCTTGTTCAGCATGCAAAAATTCACAATCATTTACAGTTAAAGAAGAATTGCTATCTAAAATTTCAAATGATACTTATGTAGATATATGGTTTAATAAATTGGTGAAATTGGTCTTGATACCAGTTACTTGTTTTCCAAAGGAATGACATCAGTGCTTTATGCTTAGTGCAGGAATTAACGGCAAAAGCCAAAGTTCCGTGTTTACTTCTGGCTTTTGGAATAAACTAGAAATGCACTTTAAGGCACCAGGCTAAAAATTGGGAGGCTGTGGGTTTTAGCCCTTTCTTACACACAAAGCCAGCTGGGTGACTTTGGGCCAGTCACATTCTTGCCTTCTGAGGAAGCAGGCAAGGGCAAAACCACTTCTGGGGCGGGGGGGGGGGGGGGGGGGGGGAATAACTTGCCAAGAAAGCAGGGATTAGTCCAGATAGTCACCGAATTTGTCTTTACATTTGAAAATACCCAGATTCTTTGCTCTTATTGTCCTGCAATGGAACATTGACAAAAAAATAAGGAAAAAGAATCAGCACTACCTTGAGGGAAATCAATAAGCAGAAGATGACCTACAATAAGGAACATGAATATTTTCTTTAAAAAGAAGAAAGAACACTATCTGGTGCTTTGACACCCAAGCCCCAAAACAATTCTCGAAGATTTATTTATCCTTTCACAGGAGCCAGTGTTCCAGCAACATAATATGACACCAGTGATTTATTTATTCCCACTGGTTGGTTCTTGTTTGGACAGTAACCAGTTCTTTGTGCTAGACCAGTGGTAGTCAACCTGGTCCCTACCATCCACTAGTGGGCGTTCCAGCTTTCATGGTGGGCGGAAGGGGTTTTGTCCCCTGCTTTATAAATCACCATTACCGTGGAACCGGTGGGCGGTTAGAGAAAATTTTACTACTAACAGATACAAAAGTGGGCGGTAGGTATAAAAAGCTTGACTACCCTGTGCTAGACTATTAAACCACATCCCCAGAAGGCAGAAATGTTCTTGGTCACATGAGGAGTCAGATACTTCAGCACCTCCCTCTGCTGGAAATAAAGAAGTATAGGTAATTTTAAAAAATTAAGAACAGAACTTGGAAGAAACCTAAGGAAAGAGAATGGCAAAGGGCTTTTATCATCCACACAACATCCACAAAACTTCTGATTAATGCAGGCTCTCTTCAAGGCTAAAAAGAGCCATATAATTGAAGTAGATGAACATTTGATTCAGGAGGTTACTATTTCTATAGAAATAGGCATAATGTTCAGAGAGAAATATTGTACTAGTGTACTAGATGTACTAGAAATCCATAAGCTTGGAGAATGAACCTTCACCCTAACTAGATTTCATTTCTGATTTTTGAGACTTTAGCACTTACACTCATGTTCTTATTTACCCGTGCAAATTACAGAAGTGTACTTCAGGCTGTGTTCATGATTTTTAGAATGCATACATCAATGTTTTTCATTACAATTTCTTGAATGTTTTCTTTTTAAATAAGTTATGTGTTGTATCATTGTGATGTACAGAACTAGATAATTTATTTCTTCAACACTCAATGTTTGGGTTTTAATATTTGAAATTAAAAACAATTCTGAATCCTCAAGCCACAATAATGCAATACTGAAGGTGTCACCATGGAAACTAGGTCCAATTTTTCAGTTGTTGTTTTTTTTTAATTGCCAAAAAAGCAGCCCTAGGAATGACTACTGTATCTCTCATACACACCAGAATTAGGGAAGGGATGCCAAGTGAGACGTCCCATCCCCCAAAAGGATTGGTGGTAACAGAAGGAATTATCAAGTTTGCTATTCAAAGGAAAAGGTGGGGCCCAGAGGGGCCCAGTATGAAGGCCCAGAGGGATTCTGGGAGAAGAAGTTTTGAACCCACTACTCTGCAGGTTCAGAGTTTTAATACAGTACCTATTTTAGAATAATATCTAAAATAAAAGTTATGTGCACCAAAATCCATTCATGCTTAACCTCTGAAACATCTTTTTCTCTAGAAGTAAACTTCATCAGTAAATAAGAAATAAATAGACTTTATAGGATGAGAGAGACTCAATGGCTGCTAGATAAAGCAACTGATAAATAGAAGCACCAATGAAGGCATATCTTTAGAATGGAAGCAATCCACCATATAAAAGAATGTTTATTATGCATTATATTCATTAAATAATATTCATTAAATGCATGATTTGGCATTTCTAAACACAATATTTTGTTGCCTGATCAGTTTTTGGACAGTGATTCTAAGACATTTTAGACAATTATCTGAATGTGTGTGTGTGTGGTGTGTGTGTGTGTGTGATGGTTGAATATGGCTGAATACTATATATAGCAAAGAATCTTAATTTATACTTATGATTGCAGTGATGTCTTGACTTACTTTTACATTAACATCATCTGTTGACTGTAGCTGTGGTATATGGCCACTGATGACAACATCCAAGAGTAAAGAACCATCTGAATCCAAACCACGGGCAACATGATTCATTCGTACTAGCTCCCCTATGAATTTCAACAATAGTACTGATGAATGAATGATGTGAGCATGGGGTATATTTTCATAAGACACCTTAAGTGTGAAATGAATTGACATGAACTATTTAGTCTAGAACTAAATGTCTGTAAAAATGAATTTCTTTAAATACGTATTTGCTAATGATTACAGAATGGCTTCTACCCAAAACTACCACAATCATATTTATTAAAACATTAAACAAATGAGAGGCAGCTATTAATGTCTTTCTGCCTCTTGACAATTTGCACAAATCTAACAATTTCCACTTTATTGTAATTGTTTCATACTTTTCATACTAGTTTGTGGATTCTTTTTTAAAACCATGAATTAAAAGCTGCACACATTTTATTGTACATTTTAATATGCATATCTTAAAACATAGTTTCTCTTAGTGTACAGATTTTTGTTTGGAAAGTACAAAGCAACATTGGGCTATCAAGGTGTTGCTGCCATTGGGTTCATTCTGTAAGTTCACTTCTTCCATGGACTCATACAAATTAATTACAAACACTTCTAAAAGAAAATGTTTTGGATCTTATGCAAAAGAAATACCTGTATCCTAGTTTTACTAACCAGTAGCAAATTCTACTTGTGTTTCCCGCTTGAAAACTGCACTGGTGAGCGAAAAGCCATTCACAGCTGCTCCAATTTCCTTGGCTGTTATCCAATAAATAGGACTCAGAATAGAAACCAGCACTCTCATTACAGGACCTTTAGGAGGAAAAACATATTTTTAGATGTTTAGGAGCATAGCATCTTTTTGATATTTGTAATTTTGGGGAAACATTTTTCTTAATCACATCCTAGAAGCAATTGCCTCTCACATTTAGCTGACAAAACCTGAAGATCATGGATATTTTTTCTTTGTTCTTGACTGCCATAAATAATTTATGAAAAAGGATAGAATAAGTCACCATTATAAAGAATATAAGCACAAGGATCTCAATGTGTTTGCCTGCTTTCTGATTTTCCCACACTGCTATCGAATGTCCTGATGGCCTTCTGCATAGACAGAATGCCGTTTGAAACCTACATAGGCCCTCAAGGGTCTGAACTAGTCTTGTGCTATGCCATTTTCTTAAATGCTTCTATGCTCCTGGAAAAAATAAGATGTGCTCTGTACTTATGAAACCTTGATGATATCTAGTGTTGTAGCCATGATAAACATAAACCTTTCATGTTGATTTATAATATTACAACTAAAACAAATGGTGTATATCTGCTACGTTAAATAAAATAATTAATGCATAAAAGGAACAGCTGTACCAAGATTCCAAGGGATATTTGTAATTTTGGCTTCTACGCTTGTAATATCCTCATCTGGACCATCTATTACGGTAGCATTCAGGAAAGCGATTCCGAATTCAACATCATTAATATGTCCAATGACACTTCCTCTTGCATGTGAGGGTCCACCTGTGGGGGAAAGGAAAGGAAAGCAAAGAAAGCAGTTTTCTCCAAAATATACAACTAAATTCTAGAATTCATACTGATGATGGTAAAACAAAAGAGCAACTAGACAAATTCACGGAGAGAATTGCTATCATTGGTTAAGAAAATAACGCCAAGAAGCATACGCATCTCAGTGGCTTGATGTTAGTGCAGTGTTTCCCAAACTTGGCAACTTTAAGATATGTGGACTTCAAGTCCCAGAATTCCCCAGCCAGCTTGAGGTTGAGAAACACTGTATTAGTCCATTTATGGATTTCCCATACATATCACAAATGCTGGATAAGAGAACCATACAGTTTTTAAACTGTATGTCTCCTTGTGTTTGATAATATGCCTGTCTGGGAAAACTCATACTGAAATAGAATATTTTTTTTAAATAAAATCATATATGGGTTTGGGTGTCAAGTGCTGGTTTGAGCCCACAGTCCTTTCTTTGTTAGAGAACCATAAAATCAAATTGCACATCTATCAGACTTAAACATTTTACCCGATCGGGTGCCCAGAGAGGGATATCATTTTATGAGGTGCAAAGTCCTGTAGGTGAAAAATTATTCTTGTTTAACACTGCTTGCTAGTTCCAACATAACAAAATGTGGCAGGAAGGAAAGTAGAGTAAGCTCCTAAAGGAATTCAGACAGGGTTTATGCCATTATTTGAGTAGGAAATTAGCCAAACCACCAGAGTATATTAATCATTCTGACAAGTGAAACCACTTTGTGTTCTTCTGTTGCATTTGAGGAAAAAACGTTCCAAGTATTGGCCACAAAAGAGACATCTCTGTTTTTTCAAACCTCATCAGATTTTTGTAAATTTATGTTTACAAATTTACAAGTTTCAGGGGGATCAACAAGCAACTTCCCTTGGATTACACAGCATTTTAATCACTTTCTAACACTTAAGAAACTTTCTGTATGGCTCTAATAAAAAAGAAATAATAAATAACTTTTAGATTAATTTGCAACATTTTGCCAGGAACCTTGAATACTTTCCAAATTCTTCTTTGAGTTTAGCTGAACATATTAACCTCAAAAATTGGTCTTTTAGTGAAGCAAAAGATAGCAAATCTGCAGTGAAATATAAGATTCACTATATTTCTGCTGTCTCTGCTGTAATGCTGCTGCAAATAGTACAAATGGTTATAATACCAGAAAATATCAAGGATTTGCTGCAGTATCAGAAGTCAAGTGCTCTATTGACCTTCTGTTCAGAAGCATAATAAAAATCCTGAGTAAATCTATCTGAGTCAGCAATATAACACAGGAAGCCCTCATTTAATAACCACAATCAGGACTAGCAACTTAATTGAAAATCAAAACGAAAAGGTCATGAATGTGTATATTGGTCACAAAATTACTTTTAAATGGTTGCTAAATGATACAGTAGCTAAATAAGGACTACTTGCATTTGCTGCTGGTTATCAAGTAACCATAGTTAGCCAAATTAAAAGAAAGCCTCAGAATTTGGGCCTCCAACAACCTCGCTTTCCTTGCCTGTTCAGCATGCTTTGGTGCAAGCTGAAAACTGAAGAAAAAAAGAGGAAAGAATTGGAGCCAGTAAAGATGTTAAGAAAGATAGAAACTATTTGTATGTGGAATTCATTTGGAGAGAGAAAAAGAGCAAGCCAGAATGAGATATATTACATAGAGGAGAAATAATCTAAAATAATCTAAAGAAAAATGGAGGGGGGATGAGTCAATCATATTTTCTGGAAATGTGTGTGAGAGGGAGGGGATTTACTGATCCTGAACAAGAAAAAACATACACTTGGTCCTCATTATTCACAGATTCCATGTTTGTGAATTCACCTCCTCGCTAAAATTTATTTGTAATCCCCAGGAGCAATCACACATGATTTGCTAATTCGGTGTTTGTGGCAATTTTGTAGAATATATGTGAGAAGTGAGACTCAAATGTGCATTGAAAGTTTGTGTTTGGGGCATCAGATTTTATATATAAAATACATTATCTGCAAAACTCTTTCCGTTGTTGGCTTTGCCCACTATGGCAGCCTTATATGAATCTTTATCTTTCTATTTTTCAGAATTCTTAAGATGTCAATGGTTCAACATTTTGGCAGCTTTGACAAAACTTAATACTTTCTACCCTATTTGTCTTCAGATAAAGGATGCTAGCTGTGTGCTTTTCTTAGCTATGGTCACTAGCTGTGGACTTTTCTTAGCTATTCTCATTCCCTTTTTATGTTCTCATTTGAACATCAAATTCAAGATACAGTAAGTATGGCTGATGCTGTATTCTTTCTTCCCTCCGCATCTAAAAGAGGAACACACTAAGTGTTTTCCAATCTGTATTAATGTGCAAGATGATTTTTTTGGTGGGGGGTGGTGGTTTAGAAAACATTACAAGAAAGATAATGGAAATAAACAATGCAGTTGCACCAGCTCTGCATTATTTAGAATCTAGTTCAGCTCTTAAAGACCTAAAGAGCAAAGGATTTACATTACAAATGTCAACATGTATCATTATACCATTATAATAGTGTTAAAATCATTCAGTGAATAGACAGGATCAGCATTCGTTAGAATAAAAGACACAAATTGGACAATAGTATCTTGCATCTTAAGTTATTGCCTTAGGAGAAACTTTTACATTTCCTTTTAAAGCTGCTGCAATTCCAGTAATCATTAACCTCTCTACCTCATGCTGTTTAAATCCAAGAGTAAAGATTCATTAAAGTAGATTAGGATTCGGAATATGCTTTCTTCTTGTTTGGAAAGTAACACCAATACGAGTTGTGAGTTACCCATAACATAAAATGCTTCACCTTCCCTCTAGCATTTGAGACATAAACTTGGATATGCACAGGTACCTGGACAAGCCTGAATGTTACACCTGGATATTTGAGTTTTATCTCCAGGACAAGGACGTCCATTGTTAGAGACAGGTGGATTGCTGCACAATCGTGATCGGATCTTTTCCCCTGCTCCACAAGTTGCTGAGCATGTACTCCAAGGCTGCCATGGACCCCAGTTTCCATCCACTGCAAACCAATACAGAAGTAACATAAAAAATTAACAATGTTTCATTAATGCTTCTCAAAAGTTTGGGAGGTTTTTTTGGGTAATGACAAATGCAACTATTATAATACAATTATTATATAAAAACTGAAAATATTACTGTTACTGCTAATAATGCATAAATGAATGAAAGGTCTATCAATAGTTAAAAGGTAGATGAAGGGAGATCACATAAAATCTATGATTGAAATAGAGCAGGCTAGAGCAAGAATAGGCAAGGAGAGGAAGTTGGAGAATGGAGTAGAGATCCCTCACTTATACTGTATATAGTTCAGGACCTCTACTCACAATCTTTAATATCTATTTCACAACATACTAAAATTGCATGCACATTCACACATCTATTTTGTGTAGTAAAATAGCAATAAAGAAGATGTATGATGGATGTTTGCAAGTTAAGAAATAGGTACAGCAGGTCAGTCTCTTCAAAAGTGTGTTGATCTCATTCATTCCCAAAGTAGATCAACTGAGTGGATTTTATACATCCCTTAATTTTTTTCTTCAATCAGAGTCTGGGATGCAAAATGCCTATATAAAGCAAAATAGTCAATTCAAAGAGGGCTTAGCACCTCAGTCTCTGTTCCTCTTTGCACCATTATTTTGGTTGGGAACAGAGCTACACTGCAGTAATATGTAGATTGGTACAAAAGAAGTAACAACCAATAGCTCATTCACAGATATCCAGATTTCAAATCCATCAGAACTTGTGATGAATTTTTACCCCTATGAATGTGCAGAGTCATTGACCTAGGTCTTCAGTTCCAGTATGTTTCTATTGTTATTGTTAGAAATAACCTCATTGTTTTGCATACATTTAGAATATTATGTTTCCAGTCCGGCTGTCTATCTCAACAAAACTCACCAGGACATAACTCTGCATGACATCTCTGAGTCTGTGTATCAGCCCCTGCACAGGCTCTTCCTCCATTAAGCGGGTGAGGATTGTCACAAGTCCGATATCTTCTCATATGGCCACCATTACATGTTCGACTGCAAATCCCCCAGCTGCTCCATGGGCCCCAGTTTCCATGTCCTTTGGGAACAGGACATTTTTCAAATCAGTATTTTTTCTTTATACCGAAAGGCACAGGAATTAATAACAATAAAAAGAATGTATCATTGGTATGCCTATTGTCAGCCTATTGTTAAAATAAAGACAAGGGAACACTTTTGGAAATAACTATATTGAAATAACTCCTCTGCCCTCCTACCTGGAATGTAATAGTATAGCTCTTCTGACCAGACTCCGATCTAATGTTTAATCACCCACAAGATGAAATCTTTCTCAGTATATATCAAATTGGTCCAATGCACTTACTGGGGCAGAGGTCAGTGTTGCAAAAGTCAACCTGGAGATCGTTCCCTTCACATCTGAGTCCACCATTCTCTGGGGGTGGGTTTGAGCAATCTCTTGTTCTCTGTTGGGTACCACCTCCACAAGACATAGTGCAGGCACTCCAGCTAGACCAGGAAGTCCATTTTCCATTCACTAGTAAAAGGAAAAGGCGTATCTTTTACATACACACATTCAGATCAGATAATTGCTGTGCAAATTCTGTGTAACTAAATCTGATGTCTAAGAAAGCTACAAATTAGAGCAATTGATTAAGGAGCCAACACAGTATTGCAGACTAACTCATTGCTCACTGCCAGGAGTTCCATTCTCACCAGCTGAAGGTTGACTCAGCCTTCCATCCTTCTGAGGTTGGTAAAATGAGGACCCAACCCAAATTATTGGGGGCAGTATGCTGGCTCTGTAAACCACTTTTGTAAAGCACTATGAAGCAGTATGTAAGTGCTATTGCTATTAAGTTCCAAGCAATATTTAAGAATATGAATATTCTCTATATGAAGGAAGGCTCACCCTCTTTCATCTTACAAAACCAAACTTTGTATTTGTCATAGACTGCCTGCTACTACTTTGGTTGACTTCATCATCTACAGGCGGAACTGTTAACTGAGAGCCAAGTACTGCTATTAAAGAATATGGAGGAGAGAGATTAGAACTCTCTTTGTTCAGTAATTTGTTACCTGAGCACATCCCCAGAGGTTTCTTTAAAGAGTTTACATGCTAAATTTTTCCTTTCCCTTTCCTCGTTCCTTCATCATAAATTCAGTTTAGCCAAACATCCCTTCATTTCTGCCTCACCCTATATTTAAAACACACCACATTTAAATGAGAACTGGTTCAGTGTAATGTTTAAAGCATCAGGCTAAAAAACAGAAGATCATGATTTCTAGCCCCACCTGTCAGGTTCCAAGTAATGCAATCATCATAAAACAAACTCAGCCTGAATTTAATTTGGTGGTGGGATCATGTAAATTCAGTTTGACACCACCTTAAGTACAAAGCCATCTGGGTTACTTTGGTCTAGTAATCTCTTTCCCTCATTTCTAGGAAGGAATCAATGGCAAACCGCTTCCAAAAAGTCCTTGCCAAGAAAACTGCGAGAATCGGATCCAATTGTACAGAATGAAAAAAAAAATTAAGTACTTTCTATAAACTCAGATGAAAAACAAAATTAATTTGTAACTTACCTGGACAATTTCTCTCATTGCAAACCTGCATCTGTACGTCAGGCCCATCACAGTTAGAACCATCAAATGATGGAGGAGGATTATTGCATAGCCTTATTCTGTTCTGAGTACCTTTGCCACATGTCTCACTGCAAGGTCCCCATGATAACCAGGAACTCCAGGCACCATTAACTAGAAGCAAACAAAGTTAGTTAAAAAAAAAACACCTGTCAAAATAGAAAAGAAAAATACAAATTGGAATGGATCATAGTGGCATATGTGGGAAGTCCATTTGCACAATCAGAGGTGGTATTCAGCTGGTTCGGACCAGTTGTGGCGTATCAGTATCAGAAATTTTGAGTAGTTCAGAGAACTGGCAAATCCCACACTCTGGCTGGCCCCGCCCACCCACCCCCGCATTACCTTTCCTATATTACCTTGATTTTTTAGCTCAGCTGATTCACGTGGCAGAGTGGATTGCCATGCCCCAGCTGAGCTAAAAAACAGCTCAGATCACCAGCGTTGTCACAGAGGATGATCCTTGAGCCCTGAGCATGCATGCTCCCATAGAACTGATAGGAAAAAATTTTAGAAACCCATCACTGGGCACAATGGATTTTATTTTATTTTTTGTCCTCTGATTCTCTCCAGAAGCCTAACAGGGGATTCCAAGAATTTTGGAACATACTGTATTAGAAAAGGAAAACTGCCTCAAACTAAACAAGGGCATTTTGAGCTACCACTCCTATTATTGCTTGTACAATTTTAGAGGGAATCAAAGGTCTCATTAAGATGGAAAAGAGAAAAAACTTATAAAGGCAGACGTGTGTTTATTTTTTTAATGATCACAAACTTTGGATCCAACCATTTCACTTTTGGTTTTCTAATAGGAAGTTTTTAATATTATGAATGCATTAACTGCGTATAACACTTTTCAGAAAAGAAGTGCTCATGGCAGTTTATAATCTAGTATCTGAAAAATTTAAATTAAGAACAGCAATCCAAAATGAATCAAAAAACAGATTATGGAAACATTGTAGTAGATTAGAGTAAAATCTTCTTAAAACCTTCCTAATTTTCCATTTCCTTAAAACCAATTCCAGGCTTTACTCTGGAGCAGACAAGTAGATATGTTTTACAAATGATTCATTGAGGAAGAAAATGAAATTTTATGTCAAGCATACCACTAAATCAGGGGTGTCAAACTCACGTCTCACGGCATCATCACATGACGTATCGGAACTTTTTCCCCCTTCGCTAAACTGGGCGTGGCCATGGCCAGAATAGGATGCATCCGGCCCATGGGCCGGGAGTTTGACAGCCCTGCACTAAATCATTTCTCACCTGGGCAGGGCCTTATGTTGCACACCATCAACTCCACTGCATTGCCTTCACAAGGTCTTCCTCTGTGTTGAGCTGGAGGGTTGCTGCAACTTCTGGTTCTGGTTTTGTTGCCTCGCCCACAGGTTTTAGAGCATTCTTCCCAAGACCCCCATTCTGACCAGCTTCCATCCACTAAACAGCACCCAAAATTTATTTGCAGTTACTCATATGCACTAAAATGATTGATAACTTCATAATTGCAATAATAAAATATTTAATGGATTGGTGGTATAGATTAAATAGCAACATTGGCCATTATTCAGTATTTCCTTAGTACGTCCTCTTGATCAAATCAAAGAAACTAACATAGTTGTGGTTGCTAAGATTGTGAATTTGGAAGAAAGTTCCAAGGACACAAGTGAAATTTCGTTTAAATAACTTCAACATCAAGAGTGAATGCTAGGGGATAACGTAATGTATTAATTATTCATGAGTAATAAAGGAATAATTGCACTGAATCATGGTAGAAGTATCACTTAAGTATTTATGGTGTCAGTTTCAGATTTATAAGATAATCAATGTAAATAAACAAAATATGAGCATTTACCTGGACACAACTTGCTCTGACAGCTGTGTATTTCATAATCAGGCTCCATACAGTTTCGTCCACCATTAGCAGGAAAGGGATTGTTGCATAGACGAATCCTCTTTTGGACACCTGGGCCACATGTTACACTACACGGTTGCCAGTCAAGCCATTGAGAAAACCCACCGTGAACTGCAATGGAACAAATTGCATTATTTTAGTCAATACTCTTTTTGGTATTCATGCTATTGTCTGCAGTATTTAAAAAAATCAAAAGGTTGACCTGCCATTAGTCTACAACAAGGCTCTTCAAATTTGGCAAGTTTAAGACTTGTGGACTTCAACTCCCAGAATTCCTGAGCTAACATGACTGGAGGAAGCATTCTGGGAATTGAAGTCCACAAGTCTTAAAGTTGTCAAGTTTGAAGACCCCTGGTCTACAAGAATGTTGTTGTAAATTATGACAACTAAATATTGAATAAAGACTTGGCTGGAAGTGATTCAGAAAAATTAGAAATTGTTGTTCTTGGCTTTTATTTTTTAAGAAGAGAAATCAGAAAAAAAATCTCCTTTTCATTATCTTATCACAAACTAAAAATGGCCTACAGGCTTGCCTCCAATCTCTGAAGTTATTATTCTATCTACATAATTAAAGTAGTTGGATAGATCTTTATAGAAATGGCTAGTTTATATTACTTTGAAAAAACAAAAATTTGAGGTTTGATGTTAATGCTTTATTTTACTGCAACAGAGGGAGTTGGAAGTTAATGCCTCTTTTTCTTTTTCCCAATCCTTCCCCACTTTTATTCCCTCCTCTTTCCCGCCACTGCTTCCTTATTTACTTTTGTATTTTTTTTGTCTTATCTTATAACTCAATAAAAGGAAAAAGTTATAATAGTTTGACCTAATGGATGGATTAAAGTATGCCTACTGACTTCTTTTTATGGATGTTTTGAACAGGCTGATAAGATAGGAAGGAAGATAAAAATGGTCATAAATAATACTGGGGCCTTTACATATCAAGAACAACAAAAACTAAAAGAGAAAATAATGGCATAACTAATTTTTTTGTATCCATTTACTGTACTTATTATGGAATTCATTCCATAGATTCTGACCAGTTCACAATATGACTTCTACTTCTTTACTTCCTCTTTTATCACTTCGAGTGTTAAGGGATAACAATATGATAGAGAAATAATTTAAAATGTCCCCCCAAAACTGGCATTCTAGTTCAACCTTATCTTTAAAAGGCCAGAATATCTGTAAATGTGTTCTACAGCATTGGAGCAACCATACCAAAGGCCTGCCTCCAAGTCCAGGTTTTTCTTACTTCTAGGGAAAGCATTGGGACCTTAAGTATTCCCTGTCTCAATGCCAGGGAAGGATCGTTTTGAAGGATTCAGCCCTCAATCCAACATTATCCTGTTTCCCAAGCCTCTGATAATTGACGTACATTTAGCCTTAATGAAAATTTGTGGCACTGTTCACTCTTATTCTTCACTCTTCACTCTTACACTTTATTGTCTCTAGAGTATGCACAAGGAAGAATGGCATGACCTTAGAAACCATACCTTATGAATGACTGAGGGCAGCTTGTAGAACCTCTGCGTCTAGCATGCATTCAGATATATCAAAAAGCATTTGCCTTCCTGTACTTCCCATGTAAGTTGAATTTAAAGAGTGATGCAGAGATGTAAAATTAATCTTTTCCAGTAAGTACAAATTTAGATCTTATAGGAGACTTTCAGGTTTCAATTAATGTTATTTCTAAAAGCACAGCAACACTTCTCTCTACCGACAAGAGCATGTCTCAGTAGACAACTTTTCTGAGTAAGAGATATAAATATAGTGACATCTTTTTATTGATTCTTTACTTAAAATGAAGGTTGATTAACTACAAAGAGCTTCTCGTTACCCTAATCCAAGCCTCAACACTAACCCTGGACAATGAATGGCACTTTGACAAGGACAGAACCCATAAGGTTCCTAGCTACACATTCATATTCAGAAGTATCCTCTTTATGAGCAACTGAAATACGCAAGGAGCCATTCGTCAAAACAGTCATTCGGTCTTGATTCAGAAGAGGCCAGCCTTGACGAGACCATTCAATAGTTGGACGAGGTTCTCCTTCTGCTTGGCAGTTCAGCACTGCTGTAGTTCCAGCATCAACGATGATTTCTACTGGTTCAGTTTTAATAACAGGTGCACCTAAGAGAAATAAAATATTCCTGGGTTGGCTGGGATTCTGTGATAGATCGGTAAAAGCAGAGCTCTCTCCTTTTTAACACTTCTCCGTAGTCTGTTCAATACTATAATGCAGCACTATTTCAATTTCTCTTATTTAAATAGTTCCATAGTTTACGCATTTTCATTTACTGTCTTATTTTCATTTTTTTATGGTTGTAAGTGGTAGGCATTTTTGCTATTGCACCAAATCCAGCCTGAAGTAAGTGAGGGACTGTGAGTAAGGGGTGGGCAATCCACTGCTGGCATCTGCAACCTTTTTATGCCTCAGGGATAAAAAGCCTCCAGAGATTACTTTGCAAAATGTTCAGTAGCAAATTTCTGAATGTTGAAATCTATTTTCTGCTTTTACCGATGGGAAACAAATGAAATCTATACGTCAGGCCCATCACAGTAAGAACCATCAAATGATGGAGGAGGATTATTGCATAGCCTTAAATTCTTTTTTTAAATCAATAACTAGGTTGCAATATTTAGTAAACTGAAAAGTAATAATATTCTGAACCATAGAACTGGGTCACTTCCAATTCCAGATGCCAAAAAGAATGAATTCTTCAAATATGCTAAGTGAAAATTTCCTCATTTGCGAACTCTCTACTGTACCCAACTTCAATTTGATGCCATCCATGTATTTGGCTAAGAATTCCAAACCTCCAGACCCATTTGAAGGCCCTGAGGCTATGGAAACCTACTCCTTGACAAGTAAAAGATGAAGGAAGTAAAGTCTGAAAGCAAATTCATGTTAGAAAATATATTATTTGAGATTAATTTATGAAGTTGACTATGGGTCACTGACATGGTACTAGACCATTAATTCATCTCTTGTTCAGATTATAAAACTGAAGGGAAGGGAGTTGAAGAGAGTATGTATTAAATAAAGAATTTAGTTTGTTTGGAAGCTACCAACATTTACAAGCACATACATTTGGGTACACATTTCATAACTCTTAGGAAATTGTAGGAATATGGGTCTCTAACTTACTATGTAATGTAAGAGTGACACGATGTTCAACCACCCCAGCATCATTTGTAGCTATACATATATATTCTGCAGCATCTTCATTCTGAAAAAAAAAAAAAAAAACACAGGTTCAGTCTGGGACTGACTATATTAAACAATATCTTATACATTTGCAGATGTACGGTAGGATTTAAGTGAAATTATTCATTGTAGGCAAATATTGTTAATTTCATGATGTAACTTATCTAAAAGGAAACCTCATGTTTACATATGATTCAATTTCCACTGGCTATGTTGACTGAAACTTTTAGTAATCTGGAATTCAGGCAAGATTGTTTTATAGTGTGCCAATATGGAAGGATAGTCTGACAGGTCAGAAATAAAATAAAGGTATTTGTAATACTATGCTACTTGGGAATTCTCTCCACATGTGCTGCAAATATGACTCCCATAATTCCCACCCATAATTCCCATTTTATGCTTTGCATTGGCAGTTGTAATTCTGTTGTATCTAGAAAAGGTTAGGAAAATCTGGCATCATACATGCATACATACATGCACAAATATTTTAGAATATATAGAAAAAGAGCAGTAGTTACAAAAAGGAAAAAGTTCGAGTTGGATTTATATCCCTTAACAGTATCCTAAAGATAAGTGGGATAATCATAGCAAGACATCTTGCTGGTAGGAGATGGATACTATTATGTTTAATTAAATCCAATTGTTGTATTAGTTCAGTGCTAACTCACTACAGTGCCATGGATGGAAAGGGATCCATTGCTAAGTTGCCTGATTCGATTGCTGATCAAAGTGCCAACTCCTTTTCTGCTCCACTGAATAGTTGGAGGAGGGTCTCCTCTGACTTCACAATTGAGAATGGCATTGCCACCCAAAGGTTCGATCCGACTGGAATGATAATCTCCCATGAATACCGGAGGTTCTGAATTTCAAAATAATAAGTATAAGCAACTAAGTAGAAAACAAAAGTCTGAAGAAACTTGAAGCCCACAATACTGAGGAAACACTATGTGGATCTGAAACATGATCCATACATACATGTAATAACACATGAGATTTAGCAATCATATTTTTCTAGGCATTTCCGCTATTTTTTCATTGAATCATTTGCACTGTAAGACAATTTGTTGGTTACAATATGTACCCGATTTTATTTTAACCCAAATTAGAAACAGAAATTTTCATTCCCCCTATCGATCATAATTAAATACTTTATTTTTGCAAGCTGAATATTTTGTATTGCCATTATTCCTCCTTGCCATACATAATATTGTAGTTAGATGCAATATGAAAGCAGAAATCTTTCAAGGCCAAAATTTATCAGTAATACACACCTTTAACATAAACAGATCCAAAAGCCTTGATAGAACCAACCAGATTTTCTGCCATACACACATAGGTTCCTGAATCTTCCTTAGACACTCTTTCAATAACAAGTTTACTCAGTCCATTTACTCCATCATATTGTGCTAGCCAAACAAGAGAAGTTGAAAAAAATAGACCAACATAAATTAAACGTATCTGTAAACTTTATTTTACTCATTAAAACATGTTTTAAAGACAAATTGGCTATTTTCTGTTATTGACTTTGCTTCACAGCAAAAAAAAAAAAAAACAAAATTTGGAGACAAACGGGAAGCCATATTGCCTTCTTGTCTCGTGTTGTGCTCACAATGCTGCTAGTCCTTAACTTACAACCACAATGGAGCCCAAAATGTCTGTTGCTAAGCAGGACAGTTTTTAAGTGAGTTTTGCCCCATTTTATGACCTTTCTTACCCATGATGTTAAGGGAATCACTGCAGTTGTTAAGTTAGGAACGTGGTTATTAAGATAATCTGGCTTCCCCACTGACTTTGCTTGTCAGAAGGTGACGAAAGGTAACCACATAACCCTCAGCTATTTGCCGAGCATCTGAATTTTGATCATGTGACCATGAGAATGTTGCAAGAGTTGTAAGTGTGAAAAATGGTCACAAGTCGCTTTTTTCAGTGATGTCATAATTTCAAATGGTCACTAAACAAATAGTTGTGAGTTGAGGACTACCTTCCAGTGGTGGTATTCAGCAAGTTCTGACCAGTTCTGGAGAACCGGTAGCAGAAAATTTGAATAGTTTGGAGAACCGGCAAATACCACCTCTGACTGGAGATTTTACAATATACTTCCCTTGCCACGCCCACAAAGCCATGGCCACAGAACCGGTAGTAAGAAAATTTGAATCCCACCACTGCTACCTTCCTGTAAATGTTTTATTATGGAACTTTCTGCTGATTGTTTTTCAGCTATTGAACTCCTTCCAGATGATTGTGTCTCTAAACAAAACCGATTGAGGAAACTGAGGCATTTGGTAGCTAGAGTTAAGGTGCTATTAATTTAATGGCTTTAAGAGTTTGGGTATTTGATGTTTTAGTAATACTTTTTATGGCTGGGGATTAAAGGAAAAGAAATGTGTTTCTCTAGTCCCAAAGCTACAGGTTAAACCTAAAAAATAATATACACAAATAAGGCATAGGACCCAGTACCAAAGCACTGATGATATTAGCAAGTTTGGTAATAAAACTTATGCAACAAAACCACCAAGCTCAGAGACACCAAGGACAAATATTCTCTGTAAATGTTTTTTATGGGCACTAGGGATTCCTCATGGCCTCTCCCCATAGCTCACCAGGACAACTTATTTGGCAAATCACACTGCTCACCCCATCAAAAAGAAAGAAAGAAGGAAGGGAGGGAGGGAGGGTCAGAGTAGAAATAAAACTGATTTGTTTTTCACATCCTTTGTACTCTGTTATTGACTGAGCTGAGCTGAGTTGGTTGAATTTAATTAGTTGAATGTACTCTCATGCAATTACGTGTGCATTCTATACAGTATACTTCAGTTTTGCAGATGGAGAAAAGAAAACCAAAGGCTATCTTTACAATGTGTGTGGGAGGGGATGCTTTTCAATCTGAAAGAATATGGCTCTACGTCTAATTTTACAGCCTACCATTTACTATAGTTTTCTGGATTAACTCACCTGGGATAATATTATTGTTAAATGTCCATCTAATGTTGGGTACAGGAACTCCTGTTGCTTTACAAGTTAATTGCAATTGTTCTCCTTTGTTTAAAGCTACATCTCCAGGGAGTTCAGTAAAAGTTGGGAGCACGTAAACCGTTAAACTGACAGTGTGGGTGTCCTCACCAGCCACATTGCTAGCAATACAGGTGTAGCTCCCAGAATCTTCCAGCTAAATAGAGAAGGAAAACAATTCCATATTCATATGAAACAAAAGGCAAAATCCCAAAAACATAATAGTTATTTGTACTATGGGGAGAACCTCAGAAGATATTTTAATAATATTGGTAGGTGGATTTGAATCAGCCAATCGAACATTAGCAGCAACATGTGTCATTATGATTTTTAGCACTTCCCCATTCCCCCCCCCCCCCAAAATTGCATCCAAGTAGTAGAGCATTATAAAGAATTTATGTATTCAACATGGCATATGTTGGGGGAAAATGCAACAGAATATTGTACTCCTTTCTCACCAAATTTCCACTTCTTATCATTATGTAATGATATTGTGTAAGTTGTGGTTATTTTAGATAAATACCCTGTTTCTTCAACAATATGGCCTCCCCCAATAGGAAGTCCCAGCATGTTTTATAGGCATGAAATGAAATTAAGTCCCTCCCCCCAAATTAAGGCCTATATTAAAACATGTGAAATGGGGGGGAATAGTGGGGGGGGGGGGCTTGCCATTAGGAAGTACTTTTGTTGCACACCCATATATGGTGCTGCCTGTGTTGATCCCAATATGAAGTGCCCCACCAACGCCGAGGTCAACATCCCAGCCATCGCTGCCCGCCCACCCGAAGATGCAAGGGGGGGAATTAAGTCACCCCAAAAAGACGGCCTAGCCATTTTTTTGGGGCTCAAAAAAAAATAAGACCCAGCCTTATTATATGAGAAACACGGTACTTTTTATTTAGTTTTTTAAAATTATTTTATTGTGTTAAAATGTTTTTATTATTTTAATTGCAGTATATTGTTTTCAATTATAAGTTGCAGGAATCATTGATTGAGATGGGCAGCTGTACAAAATTGAATAAATAAGTATTTGCATAAAATGTTGGATAACAAATATATGGCTGTGGTGTTTGCATGATTACATCACTATAGGTATCATTTGGGCATCACTGTAGATTACTATTCACAGTGGTGCTGCTGCAGTGAGTGCATTCCTACTCCCACACCATTCAAAGGGTGTTTGTCCCAAATTGTATAGCTAAAGGACAATTTGGGATGAACACCTTGTGAATGCGGTGGGAGTAGGAATGGATTTCCAGAGAGAGAATTGCAGACTATAGGAACCAGAAGCACTACTCAGGTGACCCTGAGAACACAGATAAATCTCCAAGTGCTTCAACAACCCTCTAAAAGGATGCAAATGTCCAGCTGTCTGCAAGGAATATAAATCCTTCCATTCCCCACTATCTTGTCAGAGCTGAAGAAGCTTCTTGGATAAGAAGTGAAACATATTCAAAGAAAAAAAAAACAAGAAAGTCCAGTCCAGTTGCCTCCTGAAAAAGCACTTTTGGGACAATCATGATCTGGATGACTGAGAATCTCTACAGACTTGCAGGAAGTGCAGTTCTTGCATGAAAAGAAAATTGGATCAGATTATTTTTATACCATAAAGCTGAACAGACTGGAAATGTCAGTTGAAAGGATAATTAGGTGTGTACATAGATAAATAAACTGTTAACCATTTGCATTCAATTATCTGTTTTTCAGTGCATGTTTATTTCCCCCCTGCTATTTTCCCCCCCTGCTTCCCACCCTCTGCCTTATAAAAAGTTATCCATTGGAGAAGGGAAATATATAGTACTGTACAACTTTGATGACCAAGACAATAAAGGCAGTCCTGATGCTCACTCCCATCCTTCCTAAGCATGCTGTTTACCTGAGGCTTACCTTAGCATTCTCTATAATGAAGTCTTCGTATGGTTCAGATCTTTGCTCAGCTGAAAGGCTTGCATCATCTTTCCTCCAGGTCACTGAGGGTGCTGGCATCCCATCAGCAATACAAGATAGAACTACTTGTGAATTTTCAACAACCGTATAGTGGCTCTCAGCTGCATGGATCTTTGGTGGGACTGGGAGAAGTATTTTATTTAACAAACGAAATAATAGTTTTGATTAAAATTAGACATTTTGTATACTGGATGTGAACATGTATCATCACAAAAGAGTCTTCGATATCTTTTAATAGATATTTGTACAGATGGTGACCGGGAATGATTTGTCTAATTTGAAGAAAGCAAAACTATTGGAAATGCTGGCTAAACATTCTAGGCGTTTTAATGCAACTCATCTGGATGGCTAAAGAAGGCTGAAATATAGCCCAGTATTCTACAGAAATATGAGAGAAGTTATCACAACACTGGAAAAAAATGTAATTTGAACAGGGAAATTTGGGAACTAGCAAACATTTGCCAATAAACCCTTAAATTATGTAGGCAATAAGATTAGCTTGAGTTCATCAGTATGCAGTGTTAAGAGATCACATCTAGTATTCTGCCACAAATAAAGAATTCCACGCTTTTATAATATACCAAAATATAGGTTTTAATTTTAACATTATTGTGTTCAGGAGAAATATCCTAGAGTGCTTTATATTAATTATATATATATATATATATATGTTTTCTGAGGTTCTCGCGGGTATTTGTATGTGGATCTTTGGTTAT